CAAGTCTAGAGGAACACCAACTTCAGCACAGCAACTCGAGGAATGCTCCGTGTACCCCAAATCGTCTCGAGATGAGAGCTGATTCCCTGGCTTAGGGTCAATACGTATGCCAACTTTCCAGAAGCACCTCAGGAGGAGGCTTCTCTCAGCATAGGTATGTGGGAGGGACCCCGAGTTTGCTGCCTCAAGGGGAATATACAGCGAGAAGCCCTAACTTGAAAGGAGGCCGGATTTCCTTGCAGTGGCTTGAATACAGGCTCGTCTTTCATCTCACAACATGAAGGGATGACGGAATCCACTGTGGAGACCTTAGAGAAAGCCCTAGGTCCCTGCCTCATTTTGACGGAATGCCTCACATCCCGTTGACACCTCGAGAGGCACGCAGAGTTCATTGCTTCAAAAGGTGACGATGCCTGACTCTTCTTGAATACTGATAGGAATCCCAAAATCCCCGTGGCTACTGGAAAGGGTCCTTGGGTGCCCTGCCTCACCTCGAGAAGCATCCGTTTTGCCCTGCCAAGCCTCGAAGAGATTCCTGAGGTGTCCCTCGTTACTAGACAGGAGTCCTGACGTCACTGAAGAAACTCGTGTTTTGAAGGGCCTTCCCCGCCGTAAGTCGAGAACATACCCCAGGTCCCTGCCGCAACTCGAGAAAAACAATGAGACTTCCCCCTAGAGGCGAGATGAGGCCCCATTCCCCTGCAGTGCATGCAGAGCTATTCCGTGATCCCATTCAAACAAGTCAGGAGCTTCGACTTGCTTAATCGATCTTGAGACAGTCCCCAAGAACACTGTCACCAGTCTAGACGGACCCTGAGGCCACCCCAGCAACGCAAAGCAGCTGCATGTGCCCCAAATCAACTCGAGATGAGGCCCGATTCCCCTGCATTGACTCCAGAGCCATTCCCCGTTCCCCATTCAACACGACCGGTGGCTCGACTTCCTTCAGGCAACTCCAGAGATGCCCCGAGAACACTGTCCCAAGTCTAGAGGAACACTAACTTCAGCACAGCAACTCGAGGAATGCTCCGTGTACCCCAAATCGTCTCGAGATGAGAGCTGATTCCCTGGCTTAGGCTCAAGACGTATGCCAACTTTCCAGAAGCACCTCAGGAGGAGGCTTCTCTCAGCAATAGCTATGTGGGAGGGACCCCGAGTTTGCTGCCTCAAGGGGAATATACAGCGAGAAGCCCTAAATTGAAAGGAGGCCCAATTTCCTTGCAGTTGCTTGAATACAGGCTCGTGTTTAATCTCACAACATGAAGGCATGTCTGAATCCCCTGTGGAGACCTTAAAGAAAGCCCTAGGTCCCTGCCTCATTTTGACGGAATGCCTCACATCCCGCTGACACCTCGAGAGGCACGCGGAGTTCATTGCTTCAAAAGGTGACGATGCCTGACTCCTCTTGAATACTGATAGGAATCCCAAAATCCCTGTGGCTAAAGGAAAGGGTCCTTGGGTGCACTGCCTCACCTCGAGAAGCGTCCCTTTTGCCCTGCCAAGCTTGGAAGAGATTCCTGAGGTGTCCCTCGTTACTAGACAGGAGTCCTGACGTCACTGAAGAAACTCGTGTTTTGAAGGGCCATCCCGCCGTAAGTCGAGAACATACCCCAGGTCCCCGCCGCAACTCGAGTAAAACCATGAGACTTCCCCCTAGAGGCGAGATGAGGCCCCATTCCCCTGCAGTGCATGCAGAGCTATTCCGTGATCCCATTCAAACAAGTCAGGAGCTTCGACTTGCTTAATGGATCTCGAGACAGTCCCCAAGAACACTGTCACCAGTCTAGACAGACCCTGAGGTCACCCCAGCAACGCAAAGCAGCTCCATGTGACCCAAATCAACTCGAGATGAGGCCCGATTCCCCTGCATTGACTCCAGAGCCATTCCCCGTTCCGCATTCAACATGACCGGTGGCTCGACTTCCTTCAGGTAACTCCAGAGATGCCCCGAGAACACTGTCCCAAGTCTAGAGGAACACCAACTTCAGCACAGCAAATCGAGGAATGCTCCGTGTACCCCAAATCGTCTCGAGATGAGAGGTGATTCCCTGGCTTAGGCTCAAGACGTATGCCAACTTTCCAGAAGCACCTCAGGAGGAGGCTTCTCTCAGCAATAGGTATGTGGGAGGGACCCCGAGTTTGCTGCCTCAAGGGGAATATACAGCGAGAAGCCCTAACTTGAAAGGAGGCCGGATTTCACTGCAGTGGCTTGAATACAGGCTCTTCTTTGATCTCAAAACATGAAGGGATGACTGAATGCCCTGTGGAGACCTTAGAGAAAGCCCTAGGTCCATGCCTCATTTTGACGGAATGCCTCACATCCCGCTGACACCTCGAGAGGCACGCAGAGTTCATTGCTTCAAAAGGTGACGATGCCTGACTCCTCTTGAATACTGATAGGAATCCCAAAATCCCTGTGGCTACTGGAAAGGGTCCTTGGGTGCCCTGCCTCACCTCGAGAAGCGTCCCTTTTGCCCTGCCAAGCTTGGAAGAGATTCCTGAGGTGTCCCTCGTTACTAGACAGGAGTCCTGACGTCACTGAAGAAACTCGTGTTTTGAAGGGCCATCCCCGCCGTAAGTCGAGAACATACCCCAGGTCCCCGCCGCAACTCGAGAAAAACCATGAGACTTCCCCCTAGAGGCGAGATGAGGCCCCATTCCCCTGCAGTGCATGCAGAGCTATTCCGTGATCCCATTCAAACAAGTCAGGAGATTCGACTTGCTTAATGGATCTCGAGACAGTCCCCAAGAACACTGTCACCAGTCTAGACGGACGCTGAGGTCACCCCAGCAACGCAAAGCAGCTCCATGTGACCCAAATCAACTCGAGATGAGGCCCGATTCCCCTGCATTGACTCCAGAGCCATTCCCCGATCCCCATTCAAAACGACCGGTGGCTCGACTTCCTTCAGGCAACTCCAGAGATTCCCCGAGAAAACTGTCCCAAGTCTAGAGGAACACCAACTTCAGCACAGCAACTCGAGGAATGCTCCGTGTACCCCAAATCGTCTCGAGATGAGAGCTGATTCCCTGGCTTAGGGTCAATACGTATGCCAACTTTCCAGAAGCACCTCAGGAGGAGGCTTCTCTCAGCATAGGTATGTGGGAGGGACCCCGAGTTTGCTGCCTCAAGGGGAATATACAGCGAGAAGCCCTAACTTGAAAGGAGGCCGGATTTCCTTGCAGTGGCTTGAATACAGGCTCGTCTTTCATCTCACAACATGAAGGGATGACGGAATCCACTGTGGAGACCTTAGAGAAAGCCCTAGGTCCCTGCCTCATTTTGACGGAATGCCTCACATCCCGTTGACACCTCGAGAGGCACGCAGAGTTCATTGCTTCAAAAGGTGACGATGCCTGACTCTTCTTGAATACTGGTAGGAATCCCAAAATCCCCGTGGCTACTGGAAAGGGTCCTTGGGTGCCCTGCCTCACCTCGAGAAGCATCCGTTTTGCCCTGCCAAGCCTCGAAGAGATTCCTGAGGTGTCCCTCGTTACTAGACAGGAGTCCTGACGTCACTGAAGAAACTCGTGTTTTGAAGGGCCTTCCCCACCGTAAGTCGAGAACATACCCCAGGTCCCTGCCGCAACTCGAGAAAAACAATGAGACTTCCCCCTAGAGGCGAGATGAGGCCCATTCCCCTGCAGTGCATGAAGAGCTATTCCGTGATCCCATTCAAACAAGTCAGGAGCTTCGACTTGCTTAATGGATCTCGAGACAGTCCCCAAGAACACTGTCACCAGTCTAGACGGACCCTGAGGCCACCCCAGCAACGCAAAGCAGTTCCATGTGCCCCAAATCAACTCGAGATGAGGCCCGATTCCCCTGCATTGACTCCAGAGCCATTCCCCGTTCCCCATTCAACACGAACGGTGGCTCGACTTCCTTCAGGCAACTCCAGAGATGCCCCGAGAACACTGTCCCAAGTCTAGAGGAACACCAACTTCAGCACAGCAACTCGAGGAATGCTCCGTGTACACCAAATCGTCTCGAGATGAGAGCTGATTCCCTGGCTTAGGCTCAAGACGTATGCCAACTTTCCAGAAGAACCTCAGGAGGAGGCTTCTCTCAGCAATAGCTATGTGGGAGGGACCCCGAGTTTGCTGCCTCAAGGGGAATATACAGCGAGAAGCCCTAAATTGAAAGGAGGCCCGATTTCCTTGCAGTGGCTTGAATACAGGCTCGTGTTTAATCTCACAACATGAAGGCATGTCTGAATCCCCTGTGGAGACCTTAGAGAAAGCCCTAGGTCCCTGCCTCATTTTGAAGGACTGCCTCACAACCCGCTGACACCTCGAGAGGCATGCGGAGTTCATTGCTTCAAAAGGTGACGATGCCTGACTCATCTTGAATACTGATAGGAATCCCAAAATCCCTGTGGCTACAGGAAAGGGTCCTTGGGTGCACTGCCTCACCTCGAGAAGCGTCCCTTTTGCCCTGACAAGCCTCGAAGAGATTCCTGAGGTGTCCCTCGTTACTAAACAGGAGTCCTGACGTCACTGAAGAAACTCGTGTTTTGAAGGGCCATCCCGCCGTAAGTCGAGAACATACCCCAGGTCCCCGCCGCAACTCGAGTAAAACCATGAGACTTCCCCCTAGAGGCGAGATGAGGCCCCATTCCCCTGCAGTGCATGCAGAGCTATTCCGTGATCCCATTCAAACAAGTCAGGAGCTTCGACTTGCTTAATGGATCTCGAGACAGTCCCCAAGAACACTGTCACCAGTCTAGACGGACCCTGAGGTCACCCCAGCAACGCAAAGCAGCTCCATGTGCCCCAAATCAACTCGAGATGAGGCCCGATTCCCCTGCATTGACTCCAGAGCCATTCCCCGTTCCCCATTCAACACGACCAGTGGCTCGACTTCCTTCAGGCAACTCCAGAGATGCCCCGAGAACACTGTCCCAGGTGTAGAGGAACACCAACTTCAGCACAGCAACTCGAGGAATGCTGCGTGTACCCCAAATCGTCTCGAGATGAGAGCTGATTCCCTGGCTTAGGCTCAAGACGTATGCCAACTTTCCAGAAGCACCTCAGGAGGAGGCTTCTCTCAGCAATAGGTATGTGGGAGGGACCCCGAGTTTGCTGCCTCAAGGGGAATATACAGCGAGAAGCCCTAACTTGAAAGGAGGCCGGATTTCCCTGCAGTGGCTTGAACACAGGCTCTTCTTTGATCTCAAAACATGAAGGGATGACTGAATGCCCTGTGGAGACCTTAGAGAAAGCCCTAGGTCCATGCCTCATTTTGACGGAATGCCTCACATCCCGCTGACACCTCGAGAGGCACGCAGAGTTCATTGCTTCAAAAGGTGACGATGTGTGACTCTTCTTGAATACTCATAGGAATCCCAAAATCCCCGTGGCTACAGGAAAGGGGCCTTGGGTGCCCTGCCTCACCTCGAGAAGCGTTCCTTCTGCCCTGCCAAGCCTCGAAGAGATTCCTGAGGTGTCCCTCGTTACTAAACAGGAGTCCTGACGTCACTGAAGAAACTCGTGTTTTGAAGGGCCATCCCGCCGTAAGTCGAGAACATACCCCAGGTCCCCGCCGCAACTCGAGAAAAACCATGAGACTTCCCCCTAGAGGCGAGATGAGGCCCCATTCCCCTGCAGAGCATGCAGAGCTATTCCAAGATCCCATTCAAACAAGTCAGGAGCTTCGACTTGCTTAATGGATCTCGAGACAGTCCCCAAGAACACTGTCACCAGTCTAGACGGACGCTGAGGTCACCCCAGCAACGCAAAGCAGCTCCATATGCCCCAAATCAACTCGAGATGAGGCCCGATTCCCCTGCATTGACTCCAGAGCCATTCCCCATTCCCCATTCAACACGACCGGTGGCTCGACTTCCTTCAGGCAACTCCAGAGATGCCCCGAGAACATTGTCCCAAGTCTAGAGGAACACCAACTTCAGCACAGCAACTCGAGGAATGCTCCGTGTACCCCAAATCGTCTCGAGATGAGAGCTGATTCCCGGGCTTAGGGTCAATACGTATGCCAACTTTCCAGAAGCACCTCAGGAGGAGGCTTCTCTCAGCAATAGGTATGTGGGAGGGACCCCGAGTTTGCTGCCTCAAGGGGAATATACAGCGAGAAGCCCTAACTTGAAAGGAGGCCGGATTTGCTTGCAGTGGCTTGAATACAGGCTCGTCTTTCATCTCACAACATGAAGGGATGTCGGAATCCACTGTGGAGACCTTAGAGAAAGCCGTAGGTCCCTGCCTCATTTTGACGGAATGCCTCACATCCCGCTGACACCTCGAGAGGCACGCGGAGTTCATTGCTTCAAAATATGATGATGCCTGACTCCTCTAGAATACTGATAGGAATCCCAGAATCCCTGTGGCTACTGGAAAGGGTCCTTGGGTGCCCTGCCTCACCTCGAGAAGCGTCCCTTTTGCCCTGCCAAGCCTCGAAGAGATTCCTGAGGTGTCCCTCATTACTAGACAGGAGTCCTGACGTCACTGAAGAAACTCGTGTTTTGAAGGGCCTTCCCCGCCGTAAGTCGAGAACATACCCCAGGTCCCTGCCGCAACTCGAGAAAAACAATGAGACTTCCCCCTAGAGGCGAGATGAGGCCCCATTCCCCTGCAGTGCATGCAGAGCTATTCCGTGATCCCATTCAAACAAGTCAGGAGCTTCGACTTGCTTAATCGATCTCGAGACAGTCCCCAAGAACACTGTCACCAGTCTAGACGGACCCTGAGGCCACCCCAGCAACGCAAAGCAGCTGCATGTGCCCCAAATCAACTCGAGATGAGGCCCGATTCCCCTGCATTGACTCCAGAGCCATTCCCCGTTCCCCATTCAACACGACCGGTGGCTCGACTTCCTTCAGGCAACTCCAGAGATGCCCCGAGAACACTGTCCCAAGTCTAGAGGAACACTAACTTCAGCACAGCAACTCGAGGAATGCTCCGTGTACCCCAAATCGTCTCGAGATGAGAGCTGATTCCCTGGCTTAGGCTCAAGACGTATGCCAACTTTCCAGAAGCACCTCAGGAGGAGGCTTCTCTCAGCAATAGCTATGTGGGAGGGACCCCGAGTTTGCTGCCTCAAGGGGAATATACAGCGAGAAGCCCTAAATTGAAAGGAGGCCCAATTTCCTTGCAGTTGCTTGAATACAGGCTCGTGTTTAATCTCACAACATGAAGGCATGTCTGAATCCCCTGTGGAGACCTTAAAGAAAGCCCTAGGTCCCTGCCTCATTTTGACGGAATGCCTCACATCCCGCTGACACCTCGAGAGGCACGCGGAGTTCATTGCTTCAAAAGGTGACGATGCCTGACTCCTCTTGAATACTGATAGGAATCCCAAAATCCCTGTGGCTAAAGGAAAGGGTCCTTGAGTGCACTGCCTCACCTCGAGAAGCGTCCCTTTTGCCCTGCCAAGCTTGGAAGAGATTCCTGAGGTGTCCCTCGTTACTAGACAGGAGTCCTGACGTCACTGAAGAAACTCGTGTTTTGAAGGGCCATCCCGCCGTAAGTCGAGAACATACCCCAGGTCCCCGCCGCAACTCGAGTAAAACCATGAGACTTCCCCCTAGAGGCGAGATGAGGCCCCATTCCCCTGCAGTGCATGCAGAGCTATTCCGTGATCCCATTCAAACAAGTCAGGAGCTTCGACTTGCTTAATGGATCTCGAGACAGTCCCCAAGAACACTGTCACCAGTCTAGACAGACCCTGAGGTCACCCCAGCAACGCAAAGCAGCTCCATGTGACCCAAATCAACTCGAGATGAGGCCCGATTCCCCTGCATTGACTCCAGAGCCATTCCCCCTTCCGCATTCAACATGACCGGTGGCTCGACTTCCTTCAGGTAACTCCAGAGATGCCCCGAGAACACTGTCCCAAGTCTAGAGGAACACCAACTTCAGCACAGCAAATCGAGGAATGCTCCGTGTACCCCAAATCGTCTCGAGATGAGAGGTGATTCCCTGGCTTAGGCTCAAGACGTATGCCAACTTTCCAGAAGCACCTCAGGAGGAGGCTTCTCTCAGCAATAGGTATGTGGGAGGGACCCCGAGTTTGCTGCCTCAAGGGGAATATACAGCGAGAAGCCCTAACTTGAAAGGAGGCCGGATTTCACTGCAGTGGCTTGAATACAGGCTCTTCTTTGATCTCAAAACATGAAGGGATGACTGAATGCCCTGTGGAGACCTTAGAGAAAGCCCTAGGTCCATGCCTCATTTTGACGGAATGCCTCACATCCCGCTGACACCTCGAGAGGCACGCAGAGTTCATTGCTTCAAAAGGTGACGATGCCTGACTCCTCTTGAATACTGATAGGAATCCCAAAATCCCTGTGGCTACTGGAAAGGGTCCTTGGGTGCCCTGCCTCACCTCGAGAAGCGTCCCTTTTGCCCTGCCAAGCTTGGAAGAGATTCCTGAGGTGTCCCTCGTTACTAGACAGGAGTCCTGACGTCACTGAAGAAACTCGTGTTTTGAAGGGCCTTCCCCGCCGTAAGTCGAGAACATACCCCAGGTCCCTGCCGCAACTCGAGAAAAACAATGAGACTTCCCCCTAGAGGCGAGATGAGGCCCATTCCCCTGCAGTGCATGAAGAGCTATTCCGTGATCCCATTCAAACAAGTCAGGAGCTTCGACTTGCTTAATGGATCTCGAGACAGTCCCCAAGAACACTGTCACCAGTCTAGACGGACCCTGAGGCCACCCCAGCAACGCAAAGCAGTTCCATGTGCCCCAAATCAACTCGAGATGAGGCCCGATTCCCCTGCATTGACTCCAGAGCCATTCCCCGTTCCCCATTCAACACGAACGGTGGCTCGACTTCCTTCAGGCAACTCCAGAGATGCCCCGAGAACACTGTCCCAAGTCTAGAGGAACACCAACTTCAGCACAGCAACTCGAGGAATGCTCCGTGTACACCAAATCGTCTCGAGATGAGAGCTGATTCCCTGGCTTAGGCTCAAGACGTATGCCAACTTTCCAGAAGAACCTCAGGAGGAGGCTTCTCTCAGTAATAGCTATGTGGGAGGGACCCCGAGTTTGCTGCCTCAAGGGGAATATACAGCGAGAAGCCCTAAATTGAAAGGAGGCCCGATTTCCTTGCAGTGGCTTGAATACAGGCTCGTGTTTAATCTCACAACATGAAGGCATGTCTGAATCCCCTGTGGAGACCTTAGAGAAAGCCCTAGGTCCCTGCCTCATTTTGAAGGACTGCCTCACAACCCGCTGACACCTCGAGAGGCATGCGGAGTTCATTGCTTCAAAAGGTGACGATGCCTGACTCATCTTGAATACTGATAGGAATCCCAAAATCCCTGTGGCTACAGGAAAGGGTCCTTGGGTGCACTGCCTCACCTCGAGAAGCGTCCCTTTTGCCCTGACAAGCCTCGAAGAGATTCCTGAGGTGTCCCTCGTTACTAAACAGGAGTCCTGACGTCACTGAAGAAACTCGTGTTTTGAAGGGCCATCCCGCCGTAAGTCGAGAACATACCCCAGGTCCCCGCAGCAACTCGAGTAAAACCATGAGACTTCCCCCTAGAGGCGAGATGAGGCCCCATTCCCCTGCAGTGCATGCAGAGCTATTCCGTGATCCCATTCAAACAAGTCAGGAGCTTCGACTTGCTTAATGGATCTCGAGACAGTCCCCAAGAACACTGTCACCAGTCTAGACGGATGCTGAGGTCACCCCAGCAACGCAAAGCAGCTCCATGTGCCCCAAATCAACTCGAGATGAGGCCCGATTCCCCTGCATTGACTCCAGAGCCATTCCCCGTTCCCCATTCAACACGACCAGTGGCTCGACTTCCTTCAGGCAACTCCAGAGATGCCCCGAGAACACTGTCCCAGGTGTAGAGGAACACCAACTTCAGCACAGCAACTCGAGGAATGCTGCGTGTACCCCAAATCGTCTCGAGATGAGAGCTGATTCCCTGGCTTAGGCTCAAGACGTATGCCAACTTTCCAGAAGCACCTCAGGAGGAGGCTTCTCTCAGCAATAGTTATGTGGGAGGGACCCCGAGTTTGCTGCCTCAAGGGGAATATACAGCGAGAAGCCCTAACTTGAAAGGAGGCCGGATTTCCTTGCAGTGGCTTGAATACAGGCTCTTCTTTGATCTCAAAACATGGAGGGATGACTGAATGCCCTGTGGAGACCTTAGAGAAAGCCCTAGGTCCATGCCTCATTTTGACGGAATGCCTCACATCCCGCTGACACCTCGAGAGGCACGCAGAGTTCATTGCTTCAAAAGGTGACGATGCCTGACTCCTCTTGAATACTGATAGGAATCCCAAAATCCCTGTGGCTACTGGAAAGGGTCCTTGGGTGCCCTGCCTCACCTCGAGAAGCGTCCCTTTTGCCCTGCCAAGCCTGGAAGAGATTCCTGAGGTGTCCCTCGTTACTAGACAGGAGTCCTGACGTCACTGAAGAAACTCGTGTTTTGAAGGGCCATCCCGCCGTAAGTCGAGAACATACCCCAGGTCCCCGCCGCAACTCGAGAAAAACCATGAGACTTCCCCCTAGAGGCGAGATGAGGCCCCATTCCCCTGCAGTGCATGCAGAGCTATTCCGTGATCCCATTCAAACAAGTCAGGAGCTTCGACTTGCTTAATGGATCTCGAGACAGTCCCCAAGAACACTATCACCAGTCTAGACGGACCCTGAGGTCACCCCAGCAACGCAAAGCAGCTCCATGTGCCCCAAATCAACTCGAGATGAGGCCCGATTCCCCTGCATTGACCCCAGAGCCATTCCCCGTTCCCCATTCAACACGACCGGTGGCTCGACTTCCTTCACGCAACTCCAGAGATGCCCCGAGAACACTGTCCCAAGTCTAGAGGAACACCAACTTCAGCACAGCAACTCGAGGAATGCTCCGTGCACCCCAAATCGTCTCGAGATGAGAGCTGATACATTGGCTTAGGCTCAAGGCATTTGCCAACTTTCCAGAAGCAACTCAGGAGGAGGCTTCTCTCAGCAATAGGTATGTGGGAGGGACCCCGAGTGTGCTGCCTCAAGGGGAATATACAGCGAGAAGCCCTAACTTGAAAGGAGGCCGGATTTCCTTGCAGTGGCTTGAATATAGGCTCGTCTTTCATCTCACAACATGAAGGGATGTCTGAATCCCCTGTGGAGACCTTAGAGAAAGCCGTAGGTCCCTGCCTCATTTTGACGGAATGCCTCACATCCCGCTGACAACTCGAGAGGCACGCGGAGTTCATTGCTTCAATAGGTGACGATGCCTGACTCCTCTTGAATACTGATAGGAATCCCAAAATCCCTGTGGCTACTGAAAGGGTCCTTGGGTGCCCTGCCTCACCTCGAGAAGCGTCCCTTTTGCCCTGCCAAGCCTCGAAGAGATTCCTGAGGTGTCCCTCGTTACTAGACAGGAGTCCTGACGTCACTGAAGAAACTCGTGTTTTGAAGGGCCATCCCCGCCGTAAGTCGAGAACATACCCCAGGCCCCCGCCGCAACTCGAGAAAAACCATGAGACTTCCCCTTAGAGGCGAGATAAGGCCCATTCCCCTGCACTGCATGCAGACCTATTCCGTGATCCCATTCAAACAAGTCAGGAGCTTCGACTTGCTTAATCGATCTCGAGACAGTCCCCAAGAACACTGTCACCAGTCTAGACGGACCCTGAGGTCACCCCAGCAACGCAAAGCAGCTCCATGTGCCCCAAATCAACTCGAGATGAGGCCCGATTCCCCTGCATTGACCCCAGAGCTATTACCCGTTCCCCATTCAACACGACCGGTGGCTCCACTTCCTTCAGGCAACTCCAGAGATGCCCCGAGAACACTGTCCCAAGTCTAGAGGAACACCAACTTCAGCACAGCAACTCGAGGAATGCTCCGTGTACCCCAAATCGTCTCGAGATGAGAGCCGATTACCTGGCTTAGGCTCAAGACGTATGCCTACATTCCAGAAGCACCTCAGGAGGAGGCTTCTCTCAGCAATATGTATGTTGGAGGGACCCCGAGTTTGCTGCCTCAAGGGGAATATACATCGAGAAGCCCTAACTTGAAAGGTGGCCGGATTTCCTTGCAGTGGCTTGAATACAGGCTCGTCTTTCATCTCACAACATGAAGGGATGTCTGAATCCCCTGTGGAGACCTGAGAGAAAGCCCTAGGTCCCAGCCTCATTTTGACGGAATGCCTCACATCCCGCTGACACCTCGAGAGGCACGCGGAGTTCATTGCTTCAAAAGGTGACGATGCCTGACTCCTCTTGAATACTGATAGGAATCCCAAAATCCCTGTGGCTACTGGAAAGGATCCTTGGGTGCCCTGCCTGACCTCGAGAAGCATCACTTTTGCCCATCCAAGCCTCGAAGAGATTCCTGAGGTGTCCCTCGTTACTAGACAGGAGTCCTGACGTCACTGAAGAAACTCGTGTTTTGAAGGGCCATCCCGCCGTAAGTCGAGAACATACCCCAGGTCCCCGCCGCAACTCGAGAAAAACCATGAGACTTCCCCCTAGAGGCGAGATGAGGCCCCATTCCCCTGCAGTGCATGCTGAGCTATTCCGTGATCCCATTCAAACAAGTCAGGAGCTTCGACTTGCTTAATCGATCTCGAGACAGTCCCCAAGAAGACTGTCACCGGTCTATACGGACCCTGAGGTCACCCCAGCAACACAAAGCAGCTACATGTGCCCCAAATCAACTCGAGATGAGGCCCGATTCCCCTGCATTGACTCCAGAGCCATTCCCCGTTCCCCATTCAACACGACCGGTGGCTCGACTTCCTTCAGGCAACTCCACAGATGCCCGAGAACACTGTCCCAAGTCTAGAGGAACACCAACTTCAGCACAGCAACTCGAGGAATGCTCCGTGTACCCCAAATCGTCTCGAGATGAGAGCTGATTCCCTGGCTTAGGCTCAAGACGTATGCCAACTTTCCAGAAGCACCTCAGGAGGAGGCTTCTCTCAGCAATAGGTATGTGGGAGGGACCCCGAGTTTGCTGCCTCAAGGGGAATATACAGCGAGAAGCCCTAAATTGAAAGGAGGCCCGATTTCCTTGCAATGGCTTGAATACAGGCTCGTGTTTAATCTCACAACATGAAGGCATGTCTGAATCCCCTGTGGAGACCTTAGAGAAAGCCCTAGGTCCCTGCCTCATTTTGACGGAATGCCTCACATCCCGCTGACACCTCGAGAGGCACGCGGAGTTCATTTCTTCAAAATGTGACGATGCCTGACTCCTCTTGAATACTGATAGGAATCCCAAAATCCCTGTGGCTACAGGAAAGGGTCCTTGGGTGCCCTGCCTCACCTCGAGAAGCGTCCCTTTTGCCCTGCCAAGCCTCGAAGAGATTCCTGAGGTGTCCCTCGTTACTAGACAGGAGTCCTGACGTCACTGAAGAAACTCGTGTTTTGAAGGGCCATCCCGCCGTAAGTCGAGAACATACCCCAGGTCCCCGCCGCAACTCGAGAAAAAACATGAGACTTCCCCCTAGAGGCGAGATGAGGCCCCATTCCCCTGCAGTGCATGCAGAGCTATTCCGTGATCCCATTCAAACAAGTCAGGAGCTTCGACTTGCTTAATGGATCTCGAGACAGTCCCCAAGAACACTGTCACCAGTCTATACGGACCCTGAGGTCACCCCAGCAACGCAAAGCAGCTCCATGTGCCCCAAATCAACTCGAGATGAGGCCCGATTCCCCTGCATTGACCCCAGAGCCATTCCCCGTTCCCCATTCAACACGACCGGTGGCTCGACTTCCTTCAGGCAACTCCAGAGATGCCCCGAGAACACTGTCCCAAGTCTAGAGGAACACCAACTTCAGCACAGCAACTCGAGGAATGCTCCGTGTACCCCAAATCGTCTCGAGATGAGAGCTGATTCCCTGGCTTAGGCTCAAGACGTATGCCAACTTTCCAGAAGCACCTCAGGAGGAGGCTTCTCTCAGCAATAGGTATGTGGGAGGGACCCCGAGTTTGCTGCCTCAATGGGAATATACAGCGAGAAGCCCTAACTTGAAAGGAGGCCGGATTTCCTTGCAGTGGCTTGAATACAGCTCTTCTTTGATCTCAAAACATGAAGGGATGACTGAATGCCCTTTGGAGACCTTAGAGAAAGCCCTAGATCCATGCCTCATTTTAACGGAATGCCTCACATCCCGCTGACACCTCGAGAGGCACGCAGAGTTCATTGCTTCAAAAGGTGACGATGCCTGACTCCTCTTGAATACTGATAGGAATCCCAAAATCCCTGTGGCTACTGGAAAGGGTCCTTGGGTGCCCTGCCTCACCTCGAGAAGCGTCCCTTTTGCCCTGCCAAGCCTGGAAGAGATTCCTGAGGTGTCCCTCGTTACTAGACAGGAGTCCTGACGTCACTGAAGAAACTCGTGTTTTGAAGGGCCATCCCCGCCGTAAGTCGAGAACATACCCCAGGTCCCCGCCGCAACTCGAGAAAAACCATGAGACTTCCCCCTAGAGGCGAGATGAGGCCCCATTCCCCTGCAGTGCATGCAGAGTTATTCCGTGATCCCATTCAAACAAGTCAGGAGCTTCGACTTGCTTAATGGATCTCGAGACAGTCCCCAAGAACACTGTCACCAGTCTATACGGACCCTGAGGTCACCCCAGCAACGCAAAGCAGCTCCATGTGCCCCAAATCAACTCGAGATGACGCCCGATTCCCCTGCATTGACCCCAGAGCTATTCCCCGTTCCCCATTCAACACGACCGGTGGCTCGACTTCCTTCAGGCAACTCCAGAGATGCCCCGAGAACACTGTCCCAAGTCTAGAGGAACACCAACTTCAGCACAGCAACTCGAGGAATGCTCCGTGTACCCGAAATCGTCTCGAGATGAGAGCTGATTCCCTGGCTTAGGCTCAAGACGTATGCCAACTTTCCAGAAGCACCTCAGGAGGAGGCTTGTCTCAGCAATAGTTATGTGGGAGGGACCCCGAGTTTGCTGCCTCAAGGGGAATATACAGCGAGAAGCCCTAACTTGAAAGGAGGGCGGATTTCCTTGCAGTGGCTTGAATACAGGCTCTTCTTTGATCTCAAAACATGGAGGGATGACTGAATGCCCTGTGGAGACCTTAGAGAAAGCCCTAGGTCCATGCCTCATTTTGACGGAATGCCTCACATCCCGCTGACACCTCGAGAGGCACGCAGAGTTCATTGCTTCAAAAGGTGACGATGCCTGACTCCTCTTGAATACTGATAGGAATCCCAAAATCCCTGTGGCTACTGGAAAGGGTCCTTGGGTGCCCTGCCTCACCTCGAGAAGCGTCCCTTTTGCCCTGCCAAGCCTGGAAGAGATTCCTGAGGTGTCCCTCGTTACTAGACAGGAGTCCTGACGTCACTGAAGAAACTCGTGTTTTGAAGGGCCATCCCCGCCGTAAGTCGAGAACATACCCCAGGTCCCCGCCGCAACTCGAGAAAAACCATGAGACTTCCCCCTAGAGGCGAGATGAGGCCCCATTCCCCTGCAGTGCATGCAGAGCTATTCCGTGATCCCATTCAAACAAGTCAGGAGCTTCGACTTGCTTAATGGATCTCGAGACAGTCCCCAAGAACACTGTCACCAGTCTAGACGGACGCTGAGGTCACCCCAGCAACGCAAAGCAGCTCCATGTGCCCCAAATCAACTCGAGATGAGGCCCGATTCCCCTGCATTGACTCCAGAGCCATTCCCCGTTCCCCATTCAACACGACCGGTGGCTCGACTTCCTTCAGGCAACTCCAGAGATGCCCCGAGAACACTGTCCCAAGTCTAGAGGAACACCAACTTCAGCACAGCAACTCGAGGAATGCTCCGTGTACCCGAAATCGTCTCGAGATGAGAGCTGATTCTCTGGCTTAGGCTCAAGACGTATGCCAACTTTCCAGAAGCACCTCAGGAGGAGGCTTCTCTCAGCAATAGGTATGTGGGAGGGACCCCGAGTTTGCTGCCTCAAGGGGAATATACAGCGAGAAGCCCTAACTTGAAAGGAGGCCGGATTTCCTTGCAGTGGCTTGAATACAGGCTCTTCTTTGATCTCAAAACATGAAGGGATGACTGAATGCCCTGTGGAGACCTTAGAGAAAGCCCTAGGTCCATGCCTCATTTTGACGGAATGCCTCACATCCCGCTGACACCTCGAGAGGCACGCAGAGTTCATGGCTTCAAAAGGTGACGATGCCTGACTCCTCTTGAATACTGATAGGAATCCCAAAATCCCTGTGGCTACTGGAAAGGATCCTTGGGTGCCCTGCCTCACCTCGAGAAGCGTCCCTTTTGCCCTGCCAAGCCTCGAAGAGATTCCTGAGGTGTCCCTCGTTACTAGACAGGAGTCCTGACGTCACTGAAGAAACTCGTGTTTTGAAGGGCCATCCCCGCCGTAAGTCGAGAACATACCCCAGGTCCCCGCCACAACTCGAGAAAAACCATGAGACTTCCCCCTAGAGGCGAGATGAGGCCCCATTCCCCTGCAGTGCATGCAGAGCTATTCCGTGACCCCATTCAAACAAGTCAGGAGCTTCGACTTGCTTAATGGGTTTCGAGACAGTCCCCAAGAACACTGTCACCAGTCTAGATGGACCCTGAGGTCACCCCAGCAACACAAAGCAGCTCCATGTGCCCCAAATCAACTCGAGATGAGGCCCGATTCCCCTGCATTGACTCCAGAGCCATTCCCCGTTCCCCATTCAACACGACCGGTGGCTCGACTTCCTTCAGGTAACTCCAGAGATGCCCGGAGAACACTGTCCCAAGTCTAGAGAAACACCAACTTCAGCACAGCAACTCGAGGAATGCTACGTGTACCCCAAATCGTCTCGAGATGAGAGCTGATTCCCTGGCTTAGGCTCAAGACGTATGCCAACTTTCCAGAAGCACCTCAGGAGGAGGCTTCTCTCAGCAATAGGTATGTGGGAGGACCCCGAGTTTGCTGCCTCAAGGGGAATATACAGCGAGAAGCCCTAACTTGAAAGGAGGCCGGATTTCCTTGCACGGGCTTGAATACAGGCTCGTCTTTCATCTCACAACATGAAGGGATGTCGGAATCCCCTGTGGAGACCTTAGAGAAAGCCCTAGGTCCCTGCCTCATTTTGACGGAATGCCTCACATCCCGTTGACACCTCGAGAGGCACGTGGAGTTCATTGCTTCAAAAGGTGACGATGCCTGACTCTTCTTTAATACTGATAGGAATCCCAAAATCCCCGTGGCTACTGGAAACGGTCCTTGGGTGCCCTGCCTCACCTCGAGAAGCGTCCCTTTTGCCCTGCCAAGCCTCGAAGAGATTCCTGAGGTGTCCCTCGTTACTAGACAGGAGTCCTGACATCACTGAAGAAACTCGTGTTTTGAAGGGCCATCCCGCCGTAAGTCGAGAACATACCCCAGGTCCCCGCCGCAACTCGAGAAAAACCATGAGACTTCCCCCTAGAGGCGAGATGAGGCCCCATTCCCCTGCAGTGCATGCAGACCTATTCCGTGATCCCATTCAAACAAGTCAGGAGCTTCGACTTGCTTAATGGATCTCGAGACAGTCCCCAAGAACACTGTCACCAGTCTAGACGGACCCTGGGGTCACCCCAGCAACGCAAAGCAGCTCCATGTGCCCCAAATCAACTCGAGATGAGGCCCGATTCCCCTGCATTGACTCTAGAGCCATTCCCCGTTCCCCATTCAAAACGACCGGTGGCTCGACTTCCTTCAGGCAACTCCAGAGATGCCCCGAGAACACTGTCCCAAGTCTAGAGGAACACCAACTTCAGCACAGCAACTCGAGGAATGCTCCGTGTACCCCAAATCGTCTCGAGATGAGAGCTGATTCCCTGGCTTAGGCTCAAGACGTATGCCAACTTTCCAGAAGCACCTCAGGAGGAGGCTTCTCTCAGCAATAGGTATGTGGGAGGGACCCCGAGTTTGCTGCCTCAATGGGAATATACAGCGAGAAGCCCTAACTTGAAAGGAGGCCGGATTTCCTTGCAGTGGCTTGAATACAGCTCTTCTTTGATCTCAAAACATGAAGGGATGACTGAATGCCCTTTGGAGACCTTAGAGAAAGCCCTAGGTCCATGCCTCATTTTAACGGAATGCCTCACATCCCGCTGACACCTCGAGAGGCACGCAGAGTTCATTGCTTCAAAAGGTGACGATGCCTGACTCCTCTTGAATACTGATAGGAATCCCAAAATCCCTGTGGCTACCTGAAAGGGTCCTTGGGTGCCCTGCCTCACCTCGAGAAGCGTCCCTTTTGCCCTGCCAAGCCTGGAAGAGATTCCTGAGGTGTCCCTCGTTACTAGACAGGAGTCCTGACGTCACTGAAGAAACTCGTGTTTTGAAGGGCCATCCCCGCCTTAAGTCGAGAACATACCCCAGGTCCCCGTCGCAACTCGAGAAAAACCATGAGACTTCCCCCTAGAGGCGAGATGAGGCCCCATTCCCCTGCAGTGCATGCAGAGGTATTCCGTGATCCCATTCAAACAAGTCAGGAGCTTCGACTTGCTTAATGGATCTCGAGACAGTCCCCAAGAACACTGTCACCAGTCTAGACGGACCCTGAGGACACCCCAGCAACGCAAAGCAGCTACATGTGCCCCAAATCAACTCGAGATGAGGCCCGATTCCCCTGCATTGACCCCAGAGCCATTCCCCGTTCCCCATTCAACACGACCGGTGGCTCGACTTCCTTCACGCAACTCCAGAGATGCCCCGAGAACACTGTCCCAAGTCTAGAGGAACACCAACTTCAGCACAGCAACTCGAGGAATGCTCCGTGCACCCCAAATCGTCTCGAGATGAGAGCTGATACATTGGCTTAGGCTCAAGGCATTTGCCAACTTTCCAGAAGCAACTCAGGAGGAGGCTTCTCTCAGCAATAGGTATGTGGGAGGGACCCCGAGTGTGCTGCCTCAAGGGGAATATACAGCGAGAAGCCCTAACTTGAAAGGAGGCCGGATTTCCTTGCAGTGGCTTGAATACAGGCTCGTCTTTCATCTCACAACATGAAGGGATGTCTGAATCCCCTGTGGAGACCTTAGAGAAAGCCGTAGGTCCCTGCCTCATTTTGACGGAATGCCTCACATCCCGCTGAAAACTCGAGAGGCACGCGGAGTTCATTGCTTCAATAGGTGACGATGCCTGACTCCTCTTGAATACTGATAGGAATCCCAAAATCCCTGTGGCTACTGAAAGGGTCCTTGGGTGCCCTGCCTCACCTCGAGAAGCGTCCCTTTTGCCCTGCCAAGCCTGGAAGAGATTCCTGAGGTGTCCCTCGTTACTAGACAGGAGTCCTGACGTCACTGAAGAAACTCGTGTTTTGAAGGGCCATCCCCGCCGTAAGTCGAGAACATACCCCAGGCCCCCGCCGCAACTCGAGAAAAACCATGAGACTTCCCCTTAGAGGCGAGATAAGGCCCCATGCCCCTGCACTGCATGCAGACCTATTCCGTGATCCCATTCAAACAAGTCAGGAGCTTCGACTTGCTTAATCGATCTCGAGACAGTCCCCAAGAACACTGTCACCAGTCTAGACGGACCCTGAGGTCACCCCAGCAACGCAAAGCAGCTCCATGTGCCCCAAATCAACTCGAGATGAGGACCGATTCCCCTGCATTGACCCCAGAGCTATTACCCGTTCCCCATTCAACACGCCCGGTGGCTCCACTTCCTTCAGGCAACTCCAGAGATGCCCCGAGAACACTGTCCCAAGTCTAGAGGAACACCAACTTCAGCACAGCAACTCGAGGAATGCTCCGTGTACCCCAAATCGTCTCGAGATGAGAGCCGATTACCTGGCTTAGGCTCAAGACGTATGCCTACATTCCAGAAGCACCTCAGGAGGAGGCTTCTCTCAGCAATATGTATGTTGGAGGGACCCCGAGTTTGCTGCCTCAAGGGGAATATACATCGAGAAGCCCTAACTTGAAAGGTGGCCGGATTTCCTTGCAGTGGCTTGAATACAGGCTCGTCTTTCATCTCACAACATGAAGGGATGTCTGAATCCCCTGTGGAGACCTGAGAGAAAGCCCTAGGTCCCAGCCTCATTTTGACGGAATGCCTCACATCCCGCTGACACCTCGAGAGGCACGCGGAGTTCATTGCTTCAAAAGGTGACGATGCCTGACTCCTCTTGAATACTGATAGGAATCCCAAAATCCCTGTGGCTACTGGAAAGGATCCTTGGGTGCCCTGCCTGACCTCGAGAAGCATCACTTTTGCCCAGCCAAGCCTCGAAGAGATTCCTGAGGTGTCCCTCGTTACTAGACAGGAGTCCTGACGTCACTGAAGAAACTCGTGTTTTGAAGGGCCATCCCCGCCGTAAGTCGAGAACATACCCCAGGTCCCCGCCGCAACTCGAGAAAAACCATGAGACTTCCCCCTAGAGGCGAGATGAGGCCCCATTCCCCTGCAGTGCATGCAGAGCTATTCCGTGATCCCATTCAAACAAGTCAGGAGCTTCGACTTGCTTAATCGATCTCGAGACAGTCCCCAAGAGCACTGTCACCAGTCTAGACGGACCCTGAGGTCACCCCAGCAACACAAAGCAGCTACATGTGCCCCAAATCAACTCGAGATGAGGCCCGATTCCCCTGCATTGACTCCAGAGCCATTCCCCGTTCCCCATTCAACACGACCGGAGGCTCGACTTCCTTCAGGCAACTCCACAGATGCCCGAGAACACTGTCCCAAGTCTAGAGGAACACCAACTTCAGCACAGCAACTCGAGGAATGCTCCGTGTACCCCAAATCGTCTCGAGATGAGAGCTGATTCCCTGGCTTAGGCTCAAGACGTATGCCAACTTTCCAGAAGCACCTCAGGAGGAGGCTTCTCTCAGCAATAGGTATGTGGGAGGGACCCCGAGTTTGCTGCCTCAAGGGGAATATACAGCGAGAAGCCCTAAATTGAAAGGAGGCCCGATTTCCTTGCAGTGGCTTGAATACAGGCTCGTGTTTAATCTCACAACATGAAGGCATGTCTGAATCCCCTGTGCAGACCTTAGAGAAAGCCCTAGGTCCCTGCCTCATTTTGACGGAATGCCTCACATCCCGCTGACACCTCGAGAGGCACGCGGAGTTCATTTCTTCAAAATGTGACGATGCCTGACTCCTCTTGAATACTGATAGGAATCCCAAAATCCCTGTGGCTACAGGAAAGGGTCCTTGGGTGCCCTGCCTCACCTCGAGAAGCGTCCCTTTTGCCCTGCCAAGCCTCGAAGAGATTCCTGAGGTGTCCCTCATTACTAGACAGGAGTCCTGACGTCACTGAAGAAACTCGTGTTTTGAAGGGCCATCCCGCCGTAAGTCGAGAACATACCCCAGGTCCCCGCCGCAACTCGAGAAAAACCATGAGACTTCCCCCTAGAGGCGAGATGAGGCCCCATTCCCCTGCAGTGCATGCAGAGCTATTCCGTGATCCCATTCAAACAAGTCAGGAGCTTCGACTTGCTTAATGGATCTCGAGACAGTCCCCAAGAACACTGTCACCAGTCTAGACGGACCCTGGGGTCACCCCAGCAACGCAAAGCAGCTCCATGTGCCCCAAATCAACTCGAGATGAGGCCCGATTCCCCTGCATTGACTCTAGAGCCATTCCCCGTTCCCCATTCAACACGACCGGTGGCTCGACTTCCTTCAGGCAACTCCAGAGATGCCCCGAGAACACTGTCCCAAGTCTAGAGGAACACCAACTTCAGCACAGCAACTCGAGGAATGCTCCGTGTACCCCAAATCGTCTCGAGATGAGAGCTGATTCCCTGGCTTAGGCTCAAGACGTATGCCAACTTTCCAGAAGCACCTCAGGAGGAGGCTTCTCTCAGCAATAGGTATGTGGGAGGGACCCCGAGTATGCTGCCTCAATGGGAATATACAGCGAGAAGCCCTAACTGGAAAGGAGGCCGGATTTCCTTGCAGTGGCTTGAATACAGCTCTTCTTTGATCTCAAAACATGAAGGGATGACTGAATGCCCTTTGGAGACCTTAGAGAAAGCCCTAGGTCCATGCCTCATTTTAACGGAATGCCTCACATCCCGCTGACACCTCGAGAGGCACGCAGAGTTCATTGCTTCAAAAGGTGACGATGCCTGACTCCTCTTGAATACTGATAGGAATCCCAAAATCCCTGTGGCTACTGGAAAGGGTCCTTGGGTGCCCTGCCTCACCTCGAGAAGCGTCCCTTTTGCCCTGCCAAGCCTGGAAGAGATTCCTGAGGTGTCCCTCGTTACTAGACAGGAGTCCTGACGTCACTGAAGAAACTCGTGTTTTGAAGGGCCATCACCGCCGTAAGTCGAGAACATACCCCAGGTCCCCGTCGCAACTCGAGAAAAACCATGAGACTTCCCCCTAGAGGCGAGATGAGGCCCCATTCCCCTGCAGTGCATGCAGAGCTATTCCGTGATCCCATTCAAACAAGTCAGGAGCTTCGACTTGCTTAATGGATCTCGAGACAGTCCCCAAGAACACTGTCACCAGTCTAGACGGACCCTGGGGTCACCCCAGCAACGCAAAGCAGCTCCATGTGCCCCAAATCAACTCGAGATGAGGCCCGATTCCCCTGCATTGACTCTAGAGCCATTCCCCGTTCCCCATTCAACACGACCGGTGGCTCGACTTCCTTCAGGCAACTCCAGAGATGCCCCGAGAACACTGTCCCAAGTCTAGAGGAACACCAACTTCAGCACAGCAACTCGAGGAATGCTCCGTGTACCCCAAATCGTCTCGAGATGAGAGCTGATTCCCTTGCTTAGGCTCAAGACGTATGCCAACTTTCCAGAAGCACCTCAGGAGGAGGCTTCTCTCAGCAATAGGTATGTGGGAGGGAACCCGAGTTTGCTGCCTCAATGGGAATATACAACGAGAAGCCCTAACTTGAAAGGAGGCCGGATTTCAGTGCAGTGGCTTGAATACAGGCTCTTCTTTGATCTCAAAACATGAAGGGATGACTGAATGCCCTGTGGAGACCTTAGAGAAAGCCCTAGGTCCATGCCTCATTTTAACGGAATGCCTCACATCCCGCTGACACCTCGAGAGGCACGCAGAGTTCATTGCTTCAAAAGGTGACGATGCCTGACTCCTCTTGAATACTGATAGGAATCCCAAAATCCCTGTGGCTACTGGAAAGGGTCCTTGGGTGCCCTGCCTCACCTCGAGAAGCGTCCCTTTTGCCCTGCCAAGCCTGGAAGAGATTCCTGAGGTGTCCCTCGTTACTAGACAGGAGTCCTGACGTCACTGAAGAAACTCGTGTTTTGAAGGGCCATCACCGCCGTAAGTCGAGAACATACCCCAGGTCCGCGTCGCAACTCGAGAAAAACCATGAGACTTCCCCCTAGAGGCGAGATGAGGCCCCATTCCCCTGCAGTGCATGCAGAGGTATTCCGTGATCCCATTCAAACAAGTCAGGAGCTTCGACTTGCTTAATGGATCTCGAGACAGTCCCCAAGAACACTGTCACCAGTCTAGACGGACCCTGAGGTCACCCCAGCAACGCAAAGCAGCTCCATGTGCCCCAAATCAACTCGAGATGAGGCCCGATTCCCCTGCATTGACCCCAGAGCCATTCCCCGTTCCCCATTCAACACGACCGGTGGCTCGACTTCCTTCACGCAACTCCAGAGATGCCCCGAGAACACTGTCCCAAGTCTAGAGGAACACCAACTTCAGCACAGCAACTCGAGGAATGCTCCGTGCACCCCAAATCGTCTCGAGATGAGAGCTGATACATTGGCTTAGGCTCAAGGCATTTGCCAACTTTCCAGAAGCAACTCAGGAGGAGGCTTCTCTCAGCAATAGGTATGTGGGAGGGACCCCGAGTGTGCTGCCTCAAGGGGAATATACAGCGAGAAGCCCTAACTTGAAAGGAGGCCGGATTTCCTTGCAGTGGCTTGAATACAGGCTCGTCTTTCATCTCACAACATGAAGGGATGTCTGAATCCCCTGTGGAGACCTTAGAGAAAGCCGTAGGTCCCTGCCTCATTTTGACGGAATGCCTCACATCCCGCTGACAACTCGAGAGGCACGCGGAGTTCATTGCTTCAATAGGTGACGATGCCTGACTCCTCTTGAATACTGATAGGAATCCCAAAATCCCTGTGGCTACTGAAAGGGTCCTTGGGTGCCCTGCCTCACCTCGAGAAGCGTCCCTTTTGCCCTGCCAAGCCTCGAAGAGATTCCTGAGGTGTCCCTCGTTACTAGACAGGAGTCCTGACGTCACTGAAGAAACTCGTGTTTTGAAGGGCCATCCCCGCCGTAAGTCGAGAACATACCCCAGGCCCCCGCCGCAACTCGAGAAAAACCATGAGACTTCCCCTTAGAGGCGAGATAAGGCCCATTCCCCTGCACTGCATGCAGACCTATTCCGTGATCCCATTCAAACAAGTCAGGAGCTTCGACTTGCTTAATCGATCTCGAGACAGTCCCCAAGAACACTGTCACCAGTCTAGACGGACCCTGAGGTCACCCCAGCAACGCAAAGCAGCTCCATGTGCCCCAAATCAACTCGAGATGAGGCCCGATTCCCCTGCATTGACCCCAGAGCTATTACCCGTTCCCCATTCAACACGACCGGTGGCTCCACTTCCTTCAGGCAACTCCAGAGATGCCCCGAGAACACTGTCCCAAGTCTAGAGGAACACCAACTTCAGCACAGCAACTCGAGGAATGCTCCGTGTACCCCAAATCGTCTCGAGATGAGAGCCGATTACCTGGCTTAGGCTCAAGACGTATGCCTACATTCCAGAAGCACCTCAGGAGGAGGCTTCTCTCAGCAATATGTATGTTGGAGGGACCCCGAGTTTGCTGCCTCAAGGGGAATATACATCGAGAAGCCCTAACTTGAAAGGTGGCCGGATTTCCTTGCAGTGGCTTGAATACAGGCTCGTCTTTCATCTCACAACATGAAGGGATGTCTGAATCCCCTGTGGAGACCTGAGAGAAAGCCCTAGGTCCCAGCCTCATTTTGACGGAATGCCTCACATCCCGCTGACACCTCGAGAGGCACGCGGAGTTCATTGCTTCAAAAGGTGACGATGCCTGACTCCTCTTGAATACTGATAGGAATCCCAAAATCCCTGTGGCTACTGGAAAGGATACTTGGGTGCCCTGCCTGACCTCGAGAAGCATCACTTTTGCCCAGCCAAGCCTCGAAGAGATTCCTGAGGTGTCCCTCGTTACTAGACAGGAGTCCTGACGTCACTGAAGAAACTCGTGTTTTGAAGGGCCATCCCGCCGTAAGTCGAGAACATACCCCAGGTCCCCGCCGCAACTCGAGTAAAACCATGAGACTTCCCCCTAGAGGCGAGATGAGGCCCCATTCCCCTGCAGTGCATGCAGAGGTATTCCGTGATCCCATTCAAACAAGTCAGGAGCTTCGACTTGCTTAATGGATCTCGAGACAGTCCCCAAGAACACTGTCACCAGTCTAGACGGACCCTGAGGTCACCCCAGCAACGCAAAGCAGCTCCATGTGCCCCAAATCAACTCGAGATGAGGCCCGATTCCCCTGCATTGACCCCAGAGCCATTCCCCGTTCCCCATTCAACACGACCGGTGGCTCGACTTCCTTCACGCAACTCCAGAGATGCCCCGAGAACACTGTCCCAAGTCTAGAGGAACACCAACTTCAGCACAGCAACTCGAGGAATGCTCCGTGCACCCCAAATCGTCTCGAGATGAGAGCTGATACATTGGCTTAGGCTCAAGGCATTTGCCAACTTTCCAGAAGCAACTCAGGAGGAGGCTTCTCTCAGCAATAGGTATGTGGGAGGGACCCCGAGTGTGCTGCCTCAAGGGGAATATACAGCGAGAAGCCCTAACTTGAAAGGAGGCCGGATTTCCTTGCAGTGGCTTGAATACAGGCTCGTCTTTCATCTCACAACATGAAGGGATGTCTGAATCCCCTGTGGAGACCTTAGAGAAAGCCGTAGGTCCCTGCCTCATTTTGACGGAATGCCTCACATCCCGCTGACAACTCGAGAGGCACGCGGAGTTCATTGCTTCAATAGGTGACGATGCCTGACTCCTCTTGAATACTGATAGGAATCCCAAAATCCCTGTGGCTACTGAAAGGGTCCTTGGGTGCCCTGCCTCACCTCGAGAAGCGTCCCTTTTGCCCTGCCAAGCCTCGAAGAGATTCCTGAGGTGTCCCTCGTTACTAGACAGGAGTCCTGACGTCACTGAAGAAACTCGTGTTTTGAAGGGCCATCCCCGCCGTAAGTCGAGAACATACCCCAGGCCCCCGCCGCAACTCGAGAAAAACCATGAGACTTCCCCTTAGAGGCGAGATAAGGCCCCATTCCCCTGCACTGCATGCAGACCTATTCCGTGATCCCATTCAAACAAGTCAGGAGCTTCGACTTGCTTAATCGATCTCGAGACAGTCCCCAAGAACACTGTCACCAGTCTAGACGGATCCTGAGGTCACCCCAGCAACGCAAAGCAGCTCCATGTGCCCCAAATCAACTCGAGATGAGGCCCGATTCCCCTGCATTGACCCCAGAGCTATTACCCGTTCCCCATTCAACACGACCGGTGGCTCCACTTCCTTCAGGCAACTCCAGAGATGCCCCGAGAACACTGTCCCAAGTCTAGAGGAACACCAACTTCAGCACAGCAACTCGAGGAATGCTCCGTGTACCCCAAATCGTCTCGAGATGAGAGCCGATTACCTGGCTTAGGCTCAAGACGTATGCCTACATTCCAGAAGCACCTCAGGGGGAGGCTTCTCTCAGCAATATGTATGTTGGAGGGACCCCGAGTTTGCTGCCTCAAGGGGAATATACATCGAGAAGCCCTAACTTGAAAGGTGGCCGGATTTCCTTGCAGTGGCTTGAATACAGGCTCGTCTTTCATCTCACAACATGAAGGGATGTCTGAATCCCCTGTGGAGACCTGAGAGAAAGCCCTAGGTCCCAGCCTCATTTTGACGGAATGCCTCACATCCCGCTGACACCTCGAGAGGCACGCGGAGTTCATTGCTTCAAAAGGTGACGATGCCTGACTCCTCTTGAATACTGATAGGAATCCCAAAATCCCTGTGGCTACTGGAAAGGATCCTTGGGTGCCCTGCCTGACCTCGAGAAGCATCACTTTTGCCCAGCCAAGCCTCGAAGAGATTCCTGAGGTGTCCCTCGTTACTAGACAGGAGTCCTGACGTCACTGAAGAAACTCGTGTTTTGAAGGGTCATCCCGCCGTAAGTCGAGAACATACCCCATGTCCCCGCCGCAACTCCAGTAAAACCATGAGACTTCCCCCTAGAGGCGAGATGAGGCCCCATTCCCCTGCAGTGCATGCAGAGCTATTCCGTGATCCCATTCAAACAAGTCAGGAGCTTCGACTTGCTTAATCGATCTCGAGACAGTCCCCAAGAACACTGTCACCAGTCTAGACAGACCCTGAGGTCACCCCAGCAACGCAAAGCAGCTCCATGTGACCCAAATCAACTCGAGATGAGGCCCGATTCCCCTGCATTGACTCCAGAGCCATTCCCCGTTCCGCATTCAACATGACCGGTGGCTCGACTTCCTTCAGGTAACTCCAGAGATGCCCCGAGAACACTGTCCCAAGTCTAGAGGAACACCAACTTCAGCACAGCAAATCGAGGAATGCTCCGTGTACCCCAAATCGTCTCGAGATGAGAGGTGATTCCCTGGCTTAGGCTCAAGACGTATGCCAACTTTCCAGAAGCACCTCAGGAGGAGGCTTCTCTCAGCAATAGGTATGTGGGAGGGACCCCGAGTTTGCTGCCTCAAGGGGAATATACAGCGAGAAGCCCTAACTTGAAAGGAGGCCGGATTTCCCTGCAGTGGCTTG